TTTATATTTTATACAGATTGTTTTTTAATGTAATTTAAATGTAATGAGTAATGACTAATTTCTTCATATTTTTAAGGTATCAGGTTTTGTGCTGTTGTAAAGGATGTCAGCAGTCAGCGCATCATTAGTTTTCTCTCTGGCCCTCTCTGGCAACATAAACAAAAAACATTTACGCAGAATCATTTTTAGTGTATTTTTTAGTAGAATTAGAGTAAAATCACCCATTGAAAAAATGATAGATAATAATATTTTTGAGGGTGTGTCATATCGACTTGCTTAAATATTGTTTCAAAACCATTTAAACATCATTTGAATTTACAAATTGTATTATTTTTATTTTGAAAGTCGAATTCAAGGTCGAATAATAATAAAATATAAAACTTATATGACAAACCTTCAAAGATGTTATCCTCTATAATTTTTGTAATAGGTAATTTTACTCTTAAGATTACTCAAAAATCATAGGTAACGATTTTAGGTAAAAGTGTTTTATATATCTTGCAAATGAGTCTGACTGTCTGAGAGAGAAAACAAATATTGCAATGACATCCTCTTAAAGTAGGTTTATACCATATACGATATTGTACCTAAGTACCTACATTATTATTATCTTTTCATTGTTTATTATATTAACGATATGAATCATAAATAAAGGCTAAGTATAAACAACACTCTGTTAAATTGTGTTTCACCGTTAGCTGGTTCAATCTTTTTAGAAAATCTAAAGATAATACAGATTGTAGAATAGATCTAGATAAAAATATATATAGTATATTTAGTTATTAAATAATAATCATGAAACATAATTTAAAGATACTTTATAATAAAAGAAGAAAATTGTTATAGATTAAATAACGTTATATAGTACCTATACCTACCTATATTATTGTATAATATATTATACAAAGGTATAATACTATACTTATATTATAATAATTAGGGGATAGATATGAATATATGATTGAATGTAAACATTTATTTAAAACAGACGTTTATAATAATTTAATCAATGGATTATTGATGAATTTATATTCATTGATAAATGCATATATAGATATGCTATCCGATAATACGGCTGGTAGTTGGTATGTTGGTCGGCTGCAATATCAGCATAATAACGTATGTTCGTTTACTAGTGGAAGTTTATTTTCGAAAAAAAACATTCGACCAAATGGTATTGATACAAGTATTCACCCAAACAGACCACATTTTGGGTTGGTTCGACTTTTTATTTTTAATATGACGATGCATTTCTGTATGTCTGTATCTATGGGCTTTTCGTCTTTGACTTTAGCCTTTTACGAAACAAAACTGTAAGTACAGAGCATGGACATCTGCAGATGTGTGCACTTAATGACCAATAAACTTAATCTTAATAATTTGTCACCGACTGCCGATAAGCTATAAAAAAAATAAAGTACCTAAATACTACACAGTATAAAACTATAAATATAATAATATTCAATAGTGCAGAATAGTCGATCCAATTGTACATCTTGTTATTATCTCATGAAGGTTTTCTTGGAATCACGACACGCTATAATGATACATAGGTACCTAACTACACTTTCAAAGTTAAACACACATGATTTTACGTTTTCGGTCACCAGATTAAAAAAAAAAATTAGTTTCAACGCTCGCTGCACACCACAAGGTTATTTGTGTCTCACGGCATATCAGTTGAAAACAACTGGGTTAGAGATTTAGACATGTCAAATTAAGTAGGTGGCTTACTTTCTGGATTTTGCATTCCATAATTTCGCATCAAGTAATCATGTGCAGTTAACTTTGTAATTTGTATGACCAATTCTTAGTCTTAAAATACGTATTGAATAGCTACCTAGTTAGATAGTCCATATATTATAATATGTACCTATTTTCACTTTTTAATAACATGAATGTATCAGCGCATAACATCTAATTTCAATGAAATCGCTGATAATTTATTTGTTACTATTCTTTTTTTTAGGTGCCTATACCTTGACCAACATTAACTTTTATTATTTCAAAAATATTTTAATTTTTCATTATTGTTTATATAATATTATATGGTCGGCACCATCATAGTCCTATACCTTTTTTTTTATTTATTTAAAAAAGTATATTTTCAATCTATACAGCAGACAAGGTGTACTGAGTAAGTGTGGTGACATAAGAACATTAGACATAAAATAACATTAATTGGAAGGCTCCCAGCAGTGCCACCTGACCAGAAATCAAAGTCCTATACCAACCTAAAAAAAACAAACTATAACTTTGTCTATAACTATAACTATAAATACTGTCGTCTGTAACGAGAATAAAGCCCCCTACACACAATATGATCTGGTCGGGGCAACAGATAGCCTGACCAAATCAGGTGTTGCGTACAGACGACACGACCTCTGCACGACTTGGTCAGATGAATTTTAATTCCACTAGTCGAAATCCGCCCAACAATGTTACACACTATATATGATTTGGTCGGGCGGTCGGACAGTCAGATGGAACGGCCACCCATAGATAATATAAGAATTCTTATTCTCACCTGACAAGACCGATGGGATCAGTCAGATGACACGTCTACACACGAACTGATACGACGTCCGACCTGACCAAATTATCCTGTCGGCCCAACCAAATAATATTGTGTGTAGGGGGCTTAAGATTTGACGATTTGCATTGGTAACGAATAAGTACAAATGGGCGATCTATCTAAATCTGTTATAGTGTTATCACTTATCTATAATATAATAATCTCGATAATTATTGTAGTTATACCTATCTAAAATTTAAACTTTAAAAGAATCATTCCGTGTACTATTCGTATTAAGTTCTGTCTATATAGCTATATATAGTATATTATACGGTTAATGTGGTTAAATATATATCATGAAGAAGGGGCCTGAAGTTCGGCCTGCAGGCTGCAACTGGAATGATAAGAAACGTCCCCAAACTCTAATAGGTAAAGTGATTTTGTTTGAAATCTGTGGTTAAAGATTTTTTCGTATCGTCCCATCATAGGCGCATATAGCAAAATTATTTCAGGGAGACTAAAGATCCTCCTATAATATTTTCTAAAAATTATATATTCTCAGTACTAAGTACTGACTTTTGAATTGAGGGGACTTGGCAGAAATATGGGGGGGATTAAGTCCCCCCCAAGCCCCCCCCCCTATTTGCGTCAATGCGTCCCATGTTTCCATATTCATAGTCGATAAATGCACGTTATAAGAATCTGAGGCAGATAGAGGTGGGTAGTCACTTTTTTGTTACAGGGAAAATGTTTGAAATGCATAAATAATTGCACAAATATCACGTAGGTACTTCACAAGTTTTGCAAAAAGTTTAAGCACTGTCTAAAAGCTTGAAAGTTTTAAACAAAGATGCTCATAAGATTTTAATACTGACATTTAAACAATAATTTGAACTTAAATATGTAATACTTTTTTATGAGCGTTTGAAGTTATAATTTTAATGAAATTCGTCATAATCTTGGAAATTTGCAAATTATTTTGTAGTCGAAATTCATAGGCACTATATTTTTTATATTCATATACAAGTTTTGAAAATTTAATTTATAGTACCGTGGTATGCTTACAGACTACAGTAGCGTATTGCGTATATGCAAATTATTTTCACTATTGGCCAATTTATCACTAGTTAGCATAGCGCGACTAACATAGCCATAACTATACATTTTTTTAGGGAGTTGGGTGGTTATAAACTCAAATAAAAATTGCAAAATTAAATTTTATAATTATAAAATTAATTTTTTAATTCTTTATTAAAAAATATTGACAATTTCATATAAACATATATATTTTAATGTTATCTTACTGTGAATTTAACATTTTAACACATCAAAGTCACCAAACCAAGTCCTGACAATCTAGCATTTCCTTGTTGATTTCTAAAAACGATTTTAATCAACCGGCTAAATTAATCATGGCGAAAAACTGTAAACAGTGTAGATATACATGAAATGGTTTAATTGAACCTGCAAATTCACTATGGGCTCTGGCCCAGAGGGCCTCACCCCTATATACTCCACTGTATGCTTACATGTTTTTCTTACTAGAATTATAAAAATAGTTGTAATATTACACAGATATTTTTTATTTTATTTATTAATCGTAGATATTTAAAATATTCCACTGTTACTTAAATTATCATTTGTTATACTCAATAACGGGGACACCTATATAATTGTACAGCAGAGCGGTTACCTACTTGTTTAAATAAAATTCACAAACAACATTTAGTGAATTTTTTGGCTTTGGGACCACAAACAATCACCAGTTAGGGTGGATAGAGAAATCCCTTTACCTGCATAAGCCTATCCGTCCGGGCCAATATTGTAATGCTTAAAAGAATAATATGTAATCGGATTCATGATCTGATTATTATCGTACCGAATGGGTAGGACTGTGGGAGTGGGATACAGACTAGACAGGATAACATAGTCCATGGAGTAAGAATGTAGGATTATAAATTTGGCGGGTTTGATGACGGAATAATAACAAATAACAATAATAACTGCTGTAATAGTAGCAGGATTAACCATGATTAAGGTTTGAACCGAATGTTGTCACAACGATAACGTAAATCCTGATAAAGTTGGATCTTGGATGGGTGACGTCACTGACATACAACCACGAATTTAATCTTTCTGTATCGACGTCACGGCGATCGAGCGGCACATGTTTTCAGTGAAAGGTGTACCTATTCTTATTTCGAATTACAACAACAGTCAACAGTGGCAATAGTCAATAGTCAGTGAAGTGTACACTGCTACACTGTACATAATAATATAGTAATATTATATTCACTTTTGACTTTATCTATGACTGTACACCGTCTGCTTATCAGTTATTTTATTATTACAAATAAATAATAATATAAATATTAAATTACAATAATTGCTCCGATTTGGAAATCCATTAATAAATTAAAAAGAGTTTGTATGACGCTAATGGTCGTTAGAAGTGGCGGTGGCCGTCTGCGGCCTGCGACCGGTTATGCGTAGTGCGTGTTACACACTTAAACGTAACAGTCGCCCGCCATCGCCATTCGTTTATCGTTCTATTTACTCGTTCGTAAGTCGTATGAAAACGCCGCGTGCCATTGACATTTGGCTAGCGAAAATTTGTAATTTACGAGGTTAGTGTTCGCGTAGTCTGTGCGTAGTCGGTAGATAGTTCGCAATTGCATGCGTCGCATAATCATTCCGACGTAGTGACGGTGATAAGTGCTTGTTTTAGTAGAAACCTAGCTACTACCTAGTGAAGAGGTCTTACATCGCGTCGGTGGACGGCATATTTTGCAGGTCCGTTGGCTATGATCTCCGATCCCCCTAAGACCCGAGACTGGTGGCCGGCCCTGGAGGACTTGCGACTGAAGGACACGGCCGTGGTCGTCCTGAACACCAGCATTGAAAATCCGCCAAAGCTGGTGCGGCATCTGTGGAACAACTGTGAGTGTTTCTGTCATGGTATTAGCATGTGAGCATCCACGACCACTTGTCATCATAATTCGGTTTTTGTTTTTACTTTGTTTCCAGCCTGGCTCCGAGTGACTGTCGACGGTGGCACCAACAAATGGCACAGTTTTGTCAAACAGAACTCATTTGATGACTTGAAATTCCCTGACCTCATTACCGGTGATCTGGATTCGGCCAACCCTGCTGTCGTCGAGCAGTTTGTGTCGTTGGGTTCAAAAATCATTCCTACGCCCAGCCAGGATGAGACCGACTTCACCAAAGCTCTTAAAGAGGTTAAAAAATACTCAGCAAGTAATTATTTATACACTTGTGAGCCACTTGTAATACTATCTTGCTCAAAGTTGTTTTTTTTTTTAGAGAATTGTAAATCAATAGATTCTATTATTGTCATGGTAAACATGTGCCATAGGGTCGATCATTTCTTGTCAAATTTAAACACTTTGTACAAGTCAAAGACCAAAGACCTTTACTTCAACGAAGACATATATCTGCTGGGAAGAAATTCATTGACCTGGTTGCTTCAGGCCGGTACACATCGTATTCATGTTCCTCAGTCCCTCAGGTTGCACCCAGAGAACAATTATGTAGGATTTTTTCCAATGGGTTCGGCATGCAACGAATGTACAACGACTGGACTTAAATGGAATTTAAGTAAGTCGTGTTGCCTTTTTTTTGCCATAGTTTAATTATTTTTAATTGCTATTACTAAACTATTGGTATATTTGTCTTATTTGAGATCAATAGTTTGGTTTGTCAGCTACATCAAATAATTTATTGTTAATGTGTAGATATTTTAGATTGTTTAACAGTTGATTTACCTTCTATTTAGCTATTATCATGCACTATATTTTTCCAATAAAGTTTATGTTTGTAGAATAGTCAGTATACTGTATTGGATTCAATTTTCATGTTATATAATGTAATAAATTTAAAATTTATTAAATGTATTGGTCGGTTGCTATCATTCCTGTTCTTAGTTCTGACATTGATTAAATTTGTTATTTAATCAATGCATCCAATTTATTACTATATGACTTATCTAGGACAATCTCCCCCTAGGTTTTTAAGCTGGAGTAGGAAATTCAATTTCCAAATATTTTAATTCCTAAATGTATATATTTTTTGTTGTTGATTGATCACCTACATCCACCACTACATCAAATAATGTATAAATATAACTCTGAAAAAATTTCTATGGGCTCCGATTTTCTGTACATTATAATTATATAAAGTGGAAGGAATGTCGCATCAATATTTGTTGTAGAATAGCTTAGGTAATAGGTTGATCTACATTTATACCTATACTAAGTTCAGGTTAAGATTAAACCGCGTTGCTCATGCAGACTGAGCTGCCAAACAGTGCCTGACCCCTCCATGCGATGGCAATGCGTTCTGTGATTGGCCGCCAGTCATTGTCAATCGCCGGTGCTGGCCGCCATGCATACGCTCCTGCCAGTGTCCGAAATGCGCGAAAAAAAGTGTTCTAGTAGAGAGAGCGGTTAAATCTTAAACTGAACTGAGTATATATATCGTAGGATTATGGTTTAGCATATGAAAATATCTTCTAATAATTAAATGATTTGGATTATAAAAAATATTTTGTCATAAAAATTCTTCATTTTGTTAAAACTATAATTTCTGATTCTTTTATTATTATTAAGTCTTTTTTTAAATCAAACCTGTTTGGATATTTATTAATTCAATAATAGTCAATGAATTTAAGCACCAATTGCTTAAAACAAAATTAGATACTGAGTTCTCATCAAATTTTTAATTTATTATTGAAACATTCACTTATTCTATTTGTTAAACCTGTATTCTTTTTGTAGCATTTTGTATGTTTTATAACTAGGATGTCATATTGGGGGGAATTTTCGACAGTCTATACTTGGTAAAACTAACTAATAATTAATCTTGTCCCACTAAAAATGTATGCTTCCTGAAATATCAATAATTTTTGAGAAATATTTCAGTATGTGGTATAATTGATTATATAATTGTATATTACTAATATAAAACCACATAATTTTTAGTAAAAAAAAAATGGGTTTTAAGTTTAGGTATTAATTTTAAATATTTTAAAAAATCATACTTTTTTTAATGTAAGTATACAATTAAAAATATTAACATTTCAAGATGGGTTATCAAATGATAAACAACTTTTGAGTGTAGTCACTAAATATATTTTATAATATGTAAATAAAAGTTAAATAATATTATTCACAATGGAACAATTTTTTTTAAATTTTATAAGATATTTTAATAATAATTTTTCTTTACAATTTTTGTTAAAAATTCACTAACTTGAACTATTCGAAAAAATTTTCAGGAAAAAGGGCGGTTGTCTTCACTATATAAAAGTAATTAGTATTTAGTACATTAATTGATTTAGTAATACTTAATGAAACAATGTATAATTTTGTAGCTTAACCTAACCTATTCTAAAACCGTGCTTCAAAATCAATATTGACTGTTTAAAAATTAAAACTTTAAACTTAGATAGTGACTTAAATTCATAATTTTTATTATTATTTCTTTGGCAGACCTAGTACAATCCTTATATTTCTTTCTATATCTACACTGTTAAGTATAAAATACACGGATTCAAGAATTATAATTTCTTAATAAATCTAATAAACTAGATTTTATTATTATTATTTTTTTATAACAATCAGTCCCCGATTAAGACCTACTCCATTGGCTGAGTACATTTTGGTGCCCTTTTTTTACTAGCCTACTTTTTACATTTTTCATTTAATATACAATATTCCATCATTATGCAAGTAATAAAATAATAGTTTTTACTTTATGGACAGATATGAATAAAAAGTAAAACAATAAAAATTAAATAAAACTAAAATGGTCTATTTTATTTTTAATATCTATATGAATATAGCAAATTTAAAATACTGCTATACTATGGTATGACTAATAAAATATTGAAATTCAATTATATAACAACTATATGATTTTAGGTATGGATACAGTCTAATCTATCAGTTCTATAAATTCTTGTACTTAAATAAAAAAGATAATTTGTATTTTGTATCGAAAAAATTGTGGTGGACAATGCCCCTTAATCATCTGATACTCATAGTTTGTAGCCTAACCGGCTTATGCCTTAATCTGGGCCTGACAACAATAAACTCCGTATAGTTTTTTATTTGTAACAAAAAAGTAATTCAATTATAAGTAGTAAGTGTAGTTAGATTACAAATAACTATTATTTCTTATGAATAAGAAAGAAGGGGTTTGTTTAAAATACTTTATATTGAAAGCTTTTTTTAATGATTGTTTTGTGATAAGTTTAGTTATGATTTATTAAGGACTAAGCTTGAACAACATTGGTCGCTTTTATTTGGAAATGCTTCAAGGCCCATATGACTTATTTTTAATTGTACCGACTGTCAAAGAATTATGTTTGCTATACAACTTTTTTTTTCAAAAAAGACTAAGTTTTACTATTTATTTTAGGTGGAACACTAATGGAAATGGGAGGACTTACCAGTAGCAGTAATACATTTAATGGAGAACCAATCGTTACAATCACCAACAGTTCTCCGCTATTGTGGACAATGACTATGGGTTATGAAGAAAGTTTCTAAACTAAGAAGAACACTGTTAGATTGGTGTATTTTATTCCAAAGTAAAATTTTCTCCTTCCTACTACCTGGCCACTCGTTATTTACTCGCACAAGGGATCTTTGTTTATATTATCATCTGCACTGTCAATGTGACTGCTATAAAATCTAGTACATAATTTGATCAATGTATCTGTGCTCTTAATTTTTATAAAGTAATATTTTAGACATTTATAACTAATTTTTTGTTGTTGTTGTTAGGGCCTCAGAGGTTGTTATATTATGAAATAGTCTATGCAATAATGTGTTTTATTATTTGTTTTCAATCAAATATATCTATACAGGTGTATAATATTGTGATGATGTTTCATTGTTGTGATCATTGTTGTTGTAAGCATATGACAAATTTTATATGTTAGAATACATAATTGGTCAGTAATTTAGCAACATTTATTATATTAAATTATGAAATCAATTTTTAATTACTTTCACAAATTGGATATTGGTGCTCTAAACTACTATTTTAAAATCACATTAATTTGAGAGTGCGTTTATCTTGGACTTCACCCTATTATATATTTTTATATTTCATTAAAATATTGTGTCTTGTGTCACTTTTTAAATTAGTACCTCAATTATTTTCTCTTTAAGTTTATAATTCAATATTTTAATATTATAACTAGGGCTCGGATGTTGTTGCATTTTGTTCGGATTTGTTGCTAAGTAGGTTATAAATTTGTTTCAAACGAGTACCAATTAATATATAAAAAATTTAAGTGCAACTTTTTGCAATTTTTGATCTTTTTTCAATTTTATTGCAATTTTGTTGATTGTCGTCATTTTCAATACAATTTTATGTATTTTTTTGTGTTTTCACTTTTTTTTGTTAGATTATACAGGTTTAAGGTAAGGTAAAGTTTTAAAAAAAATAAAATAAAAATAGTTTAAATAAAAAGTTTTAAATTTTGATAAAATTATTTATAGGTTTCTGAAAAAATAAGAAGACCGGACAATTTACCAGATTTTTAATGATTTAATCTTTTTTATTATCTACTCGTTTAAAACCTACCTAATAAAACTTTTTAATATTACTTAATAAAATGACTTAATCCATTTCATAAAATAATTTTTTAATATATTTTTTAAATTTTTTTGGTACAAAATATTTTTTTATTGCAATTTTTAAGCGCAATTTTGGGTTTTTTTCACAGCAATAATGCAATCAATTTTATAACATTTTTAGTGCAACAACATCCGAGCCCTAATTATAACTAACAAATTTTTCAAAAATCTATATATAGAAAAAGTTAAAAAGAAAATAATAGTCCAATGACTTAATCATACTAAAGTTGGTAAAATTTACATAATGGTGATTTGACCATATTCAATTCTTTTTTTTAAATCTCATGATTTAAACAATGCTGTAATTTTAATTATTAGAATAAAGTTATGTTTTTTTTTTTATTATGCTTTGAGCGTAATTCATGTAATTCCAGCAATTTTATGACTACTGTAACATATGAGTGAAATAGTGAAAGTGTTTTTTATTATACCTTTAGCATTTTAAATACTAAAAACTATGATTTCACTAAATAACAGTATATCAATTTGATTCTGTAAAATTATCCTATGAATCGACTCATCAATATTTAATAAGCCCCTTTTTGATCATATCTACCAATTTAAACAAGTTTCCAAAATATTGTAGCTTCACTTATTTTTTAATCTATCCAGATCTATCTATGAAGAATTTTATTTAGTCCATTACTTGTCCATTCTACAATTAGGTAGTATAAAATACGGCATTTGTCCATAAATGTTAAGTAATGTTATTTAATATTTTGATGTACAATGAGACTTTTCCTTATCAAATGTCAATAATTAATCAATTAGAAGAATTAAAATAATTACTGTATAAAATTATTTTTATAATTATTGATATTCAACAAAAATGATCAATTATAAATCTGTTTAATGTTGGGTAATGTATCCATCACATTTTTACATAACTTATCATTTTTTAGTAAAGAAATGTAATATCATTTTTTTAATAACTACAGTGCTATGAAAATAATTGTTATTAGTTCAGTTTACAATTAATTAAACTGTACAATATCACTACCTATAATTTAAAATGTAATTAATAAATATATCAGAATAAAAGAAAATGAAACTGACTAAAACATTCATATAAATATACAATAATTTATTTCTGAGAACTACTGTATAACTTCAATATTTAATCGTTTTCGTTACATAATGTTATTAAATAATTATTATGATAATTGTTGATGGTTTATCCTTATAATTATTTTAGACGTATTTTATATTTTTTTAAATCATTATTTATTTGTAGAGTTTAGTTGTTAAAGTTCTTAATAAAATATAACTTATAATTAGGGTTCGGATTTGAAGGCAGTATAATCAATAAAAAAAGCATTTAAAATGTAAAAAAAGGCATTTAATTTATATAAAAAGGCAATTCATAAATATATTACAAAATAAAATAGTGAACATTTTTTAAACACTTTTAAATGCACACCTTTTGAGAAAAATACAAATTAAAAATATATAAAATATATACGCTGTGGATATACACCCGACCATGGTCGGGATTATAGTGGGCGCCCGACCATGGTCGGACTGATAGTAGGCGCCCGACCATAGTCGGACTGATAGTAGGCTCCCGACCACATTGTTATCAAATGCGCGGCGTTTTATATTTGAATTTGTATAATTTAGGTAAATAATAAATAAATACTGTAAAAATGTTAAATATATTTGATACTAATTTTAAATTTATAGTAATTATATGCAAATATATGCAATTTTCTTAACCCTGTGACCCACTTGGGGAGGTGTTGCACAGCAAGTCGGGGGATATTTTCGATTTGCGGAGCGGAGCGACGGCGCCGAGGAGCGTAGCGACGAGTGCCGCTAGCACCGCATCACTGTACGATTTGGTGCCTTGGTGCAACAAAAATGATATTTTCTCAACCCTGTGACCCACTTGGGGAGGTGTTGCACAGCAAGTCGGGGGATAAATTATTATTGTACCATCGTTTTAAACAGGTTAGAATACGTAAGTACAAAAAAATAACAAAAATAGTCCTCCGCGTGGCATTATAGTAGTGTTGCGCGCATGCGTATAAACGTAAAATCGCAAACTTTGGAAGGCTGTAACTTCCAAACGAAGTCCGTCCGGCCTTTTTTTATTTTAGATTCTGATAAAGCACCTAAAAACACATATTTAAAAAAAAACAAAACCTAAAAAATCGATAGGTTGCTAAACTAGAATTGTTCCTAAATATTAATTAGTGAACAGTGAACACTGAACATAATTATAAAATATATCGATAAATATTATAATATTTTAATTATAATTTATAATATTGTGTGTCTACTATCAGTCCGACTATGGTCGGGAGCCTACTATCAGTCCGACCATGGTCGGGCGCCTACTATCAGTCCGACCATGGTCGGGCGCCCACTATAATCCCGACCATGGTCGGGTGTATATCCACAGCGAAATATATATGTAATACTAAACTACATTCAGTTTATGCTATTTTGTATAAATAGATTAGGTACCTTTTTCTTTAACCAGGTTTGTCTTAAGAATTAGTTAAAAACAATTTTAAATATTAACTTACTTGAGTTATACCAGTTAATTTAATGCAAAATAAACAAAAGGTAAAAAAAGGCAAAAAGGCATTTATAAGTAAAAAGGCAAAAAAAGGCAAAAAAAAAAAAGATCCATTCTCTAAGAAATTAAATGAAACACATTTTTGTATAAAAATTATTTTTCTATTATGATTAATAAAAGAAAGGCATTTGCCTTCAAATCCGAACCCTACTTATAATATTGATTAAAATAGCTTATAAAAATACATTCATTATTTATAGGTGACTCACAATACGATTAATGATTTATTACATCGAGTCAAACCCTGATTTTTGACATCACACCAAACTTTAACTAATATTTTTTTTAAACCTGAACTAAACTTAAGATAATTTTAGTCAAAGTCGAACATGATTTTCATGTTAAATAGAAACCAACCATAATTATATTATTTTAAATTTTATTCGTAGGTATTCATGTAACTATTTTAAGTTTTAATTTAATAGGTATATAATTAGTTATTTCTGTGCTGTATGCTTCTGAGTTCTAAACACGGACCAAGATAGAATCTAAACAACGAATTAAGATAATAATATTATATCTTTAATCGTAATCGTGATCTAAACTCAACTTACTCAACATAGACTTATTAGATAATAAAAAAATATAAAGTTAGTTTCAAGAATTAAAGTTAGTTTGATCAGTGTTCTATGGTTTGATCCATAGACATATTAACTTTTAAAATGTTAATATGTTAAATGTTAAACAGTTGATATGTCTATGGTTTGATCAATCTACCTTGGTTATTTTCATAGATAATAGATATAATACAAATACGAGATAACGAGAGTATAACCACGGGGCATGGACAAGACGTCAAGAGTTCAAGACATGATAATACAACATTACAACATAATTTTGGTGTCTTCTGTAATTTTGCCTACAAAATACGATTTAAAATTATTGTTATTGTTATTAAATATTATTCAACATGCATCTTTACAAAAACACAGATTTTTTAATTACTCGTCGCGATTTATTGACCTTAGGAAAATATTCATATTTAATTATCGCATTTACAAAACGAAAAGTAGGTGCACACCTAGCAATGCCCATAAAAGGCAATGTTCACCTGTTGTTACTTGTTTCATTATGTTTGAAACCCACGGTACGAAAGTTCGTTTTTGTTGAATGTTTAACAGTGATTTAGTCGTAACCGTCGACGACAATGGCTATGCTTTCTTTACGTATTCGGTTTGTGGACGACGGGGTGACAAAGACGAGACAATTCGATCCGTCTATATCTGTGTATGAAGCTTGCTGTCAGATCAGCGGAAAAGTATCATCTGACCATCTGTCGGAATACACATTGTTCTTGGCTGATGAAGATTCCAAAAAG